CACTCTGTGAAAGACTGCATGATCAAATAGTGCAATGATTCAAAAATAACGTTTCTCAATGTAAAATTTGGGGACAAAAAACTTGGGGATTTCATCATCTACGGTACATAATATCATTAAAAGATTCAGACAATCCGGACAATTCTCTGTATGCAAGGGACAAGACTGAAAACCAGTATTTGCTGGCTGTGATCTTTGGGCCCTCAGGTATTAAAAACAGACATGATTCTGCAGTGGAAATCACAGCATGAGATCAGGAACACTTCTGAAAAACACTGTCTGTGAACACAGTTCATCACTGCATCCTTAAATGCAAGGTAAAACTCCACTATGCAAAGAAGAAACCACATATAAACAGGATCCAGAAACACTGCCACCTTCTCTGGGCCCGAGCTCATTTAAAATGGACTGAGGGGAAGTGGGAAAGTGTCCTGTGGTCTGCCGAATCAAAATTTGAAATCCTTTTTGGAAATCATGGACACTGCACCCTCAGGGCTAAAGACCATCAGGCTTGTTATCAGCACACAGCATCCGTGATGGTATGGGAGTGCATTAGTGCACATGGCATGGGTGACTGGCACATCTGTGAAGGCACCATTGATGCCTAATGATATACCACAGACATTCAGGTTTTTCTTTTTACTTGGACGAGAGGGTCTGGCTCACAATCTCCATTCTAGTTCATCCCAAAGGTGTTGGATGGGGTTGAGGTCAGGGCTCTGTGAGGGCCAGTCAAGTTCTTCCACACCAAACTCACCCAGTCATGCCTTTATGGAACTTGCTTTGTGCACTGGGGCTCAGTCATGCTGGAACAGAAAAGGTTCTTCCCCAAACTGGTCCCACAAAGTTGGAAGCATACAATTGTCCAAAATGTCCTGTTCTGATGAAGCATTAAGATTTCCCTTCACTGGAACTAAGGGTTCTAGGCCAACCCCTGAAAACAACCCCATATCATCATCCCTCCTCCACCAAACTTTACCGCTGGCACAATGCAGTCAGGCAGGTAACGTTCTCCTGTCATTTGCCAAACCCAGACTGACAGATAGAGAAGTGTGATTCGTCACTCCACAGAATACATTTCCACTGCTCCAGAGTCCAGTGGTGGTGCTTTACACCACTCCATCTGACGCTTGGCATTGTACTTGGCGATGTAAGGCTTGCATGCAGCTGCTCTTCAGACTGATAAACCAACGTGATGATCAGTTAATAATGTCTGTGTGACTGAGCTCTGTTAAAGCCTGAGTAGACTGATAAATCTGTGTCATCAGAAGCTGTTCTGGTGACTCATGGTGGCTCAACACAATACTAAGACATTTTATCTTGTGTTTTCCTTCGTCACTCATCTGTAATTAAAAAAATAATTTTGTGGCGATGGCCCTGAGGCTTTCAGCCAACCAGGAGCCAGCATGCAGGAAAAAGGCTCATAAGAGGCAAGTGCCCCATTTAAAAATGAGTGTTAATGTTGTTTATGTTGCTGTTCGTGTAGTTAAAGGTGTGTATGGGTTTCCTGTATGCTGTTGTGTCAGGTTTGTTTTTTTTGTGGTGGGGGGGCTGGTAGCATGAGGCCTGTGGCTAATGGTGTCAAGTATGTTTCAATACTATGGAAGGGTGGTAATGAGTTATTATGTTTGGGTAAAGTCTGAATGCTCAGTGGAAAAGGACACTTGACCAAAGGGGGTGCATTGAGTTCAGGATTAGCTCAGAGATCATGGTAAATGCATAGGCTAGGTTTATTTTTTACGTTAATAGGAAAGCTGTCAGAAGGACGTGTGGTTAAGCGTAAAGTGCAGCTCTGACAAACCACACAAATGCAGCTCACAGAGGAAACTCTCAGTAACCTCAGTTGCATTGAATTAGCATGTTCTGTGTTAAACAGGATGGGATACATATTAGCTTAAAGCAGAATGAATCACCTTTGAGTCAAGTATGTTTCTCAGTAGCAAAATTCAGTTAAATAATTAATAAAATGGTAATTATATTATACTTATGATTGAAACATAGCTTAATGCTAATATAAATATGAAGGTAGGTTATAGAAAACCTATAGACTTTAATAAAAACCACGAGCCAACATGTAAATGTGGCTTTACTGTGATGAAGCTGCATGATGCACCAGAATTTTGTAAAATGAACTGTATGTTGAGAATGTGTTGAGATACATTCACTGCCTTGAGACCAAAGCAAAGGCAAAAAAACTGAATCTTACAGGTAAAACTTGAAACTCAGATATGTTGAAATGACCTAATAATGATCAAATAATGAGTTGTCATTACCATCACTGGTCTTGCAGGGTCAGACTTGATCTCGTAATGAGAACCATGAGAACCATGAGAAATTTTGGGCATCATGTGGGTGGGAACCTAGGTTGATTAGGATGGGAACAAACTGAGTGTGAAATGTCTAAATTGGTCCACTGCACGCACATAAAAATGATGGTTCTTCAAGGGTTCTTTACTAAAGAAAATAGTTTTATGCAGAACCATAACTTCCTAGAACCCTTTGAATGATTAAAGGGTTCTCTGCATTATGAAAGGCTTCTTCAGGCTGATGGTGAATGTGCTGTAGATGGCTCTATAAGACCTTTTTGAAAAGGTTCTGTATAGCACCATACAGGGTTCTGCTATTGTGGCGATGTCAAGCTTGTAACAACAGAAGAACCCTTTTTGGTGCTATATAAAACCATATACAACACATTTTACCATGCAAAGAACTCTTTACCCTTGTGTGGTGCCGGGGTCTGTGGGACCCACTTTCAATGTGTACCAAAAGAAAAAATTGTTATTTGATGTTATTATTATTATTTCAACCTCAGATTCTTGTCCTTTGCTCATTTTCTGTGAAGAACATATAAAATAACCCATTTTCAGTGTCTTCACTCTGTTCACCCCCCACACATTTATATTACACATGTGGTGTTGGGTGAACCCGGAGTAAAAGTGTGGAGGTGCTGTGTCCTTCACTCTGTTCTCCTCCTACGTGGCCTGCTGTTAGTGTGTGTGTGTGTCTGTGTGTATGTGTGTGTGTGTCTGTGTGTGTGTGTGTGTGTCTGTGTGTATGTGTTTGTATATGTGTGTGAGGGTGGACAACATGGACAGGCTGCTGACTGGCTACAGCTGCTAAAGGAGAACCCCTCGCTGGACATTTGTGATATTTTAAGCATCTGGTATTTTTACATAAATTGTTATGGCTGTATTGATTTAAAAAATAATAAAGTGGGTCCACCAGACCACTGAGTAACAAACACATCAACACCACACAAGGGTTAATCATCCAAAGGGTTCTTTAAATGTTCATGGTTCTATATATCGCTGTTGTCGGACGAAAACCTCATATCTCCAAAATTGTAACTTTACAGGAGAAGAAAAAACTTACTTTACTTTTAATGTAAGTCAATGGAACCAGACTTTTTTCCAAGTTACTTTGGTCCATTCTTTGTGAAATGTACGCACAGTGTAAATACCAACCGTGTTTTCAAATCATGTCAAAAACTGGAAACCGACAAAAATGGAGGTTTTCTCCCGACAGCAGCGATATCATTATTTTCTCTACTAAACCCTTGAAGAACCACCATTTTTAAATGCGCAACATAGAGGCAGAGCTCACACTAGAGGGCGATGGTGTGTTCCTTAACATTGAGCCTGTCATTAGCACATGAAACATGTAACATAAGTTAGCACAGCTGAGCCCCAGGACAATGCAGTATATAAAATACATGAATTTCGGACATGCTTCTCAAGTTACTATGTGAAAATACAAAGCAAAAGCATAATGTGTTTAATTTTTTTATTACTTTATTATAGAGGAGAAGTACTGTATAAAAGACAAGCCAGAAACAGTCACTCACATAAGAGTTAACAAAATGTTATTAATACTGCAAAGTTAAAGCATTTTAAAAGGGGGTTTGGCAAATATTACTATTATCTAGACTTTAAAAATACAATAATAGAATAATCACCTTGTAATTACCTTATTGTTTTAAGATTCAGAATGAAGTTCTAATAAAATTAACATCCAGAATGAAGTTCTAATGAAATTAACATCCAGGATGAAGTTCTAATAAAATTAACATCCAGAATGAAGTTCTAATGAAATTAATATCTAGAATGAAGTTCTAATAAAATTAATATCCAGAATGAAGTTCTAATGAAATTAACATCCAGAATGAAGTTCTAATAAAATTAACATCCAGAATGAAGTTCTAATGAAATTAATATCTAGAATCAAGTTCTAATAAAATTAACATCCAGAATGAAGTTCTAATGAAATTAATATCCAGAATGAAGTTCTAATAAAATTAACATCCAGAATGAAGTTCTAATAAAATTAATATCCAGAATGAAGTTCTAATAAAATTAATATCTAGAATGGAGTTCTAATAAAATTAACATCCAGAATGAAGTTCTAATTAAATTAATATCTAGAATCAAGTTCTAATAAAATTAACATCCAGAATGAAGTTCTAATTAAATTAATATCCAGAATGAAGTTCTAATAAAATTAACATCCAGAATGAAGTTCTAATAAAATTAATATCCAGAATGAAGTTCTAATGAAATTAACTTCCAGAATGAAGTTCTAATAAAATTATATCAGAATGAAGTCTAATAAATAAATCTAGAATGAAGTTCTAATAAAATTAATATCTAGAATGGAGTTCTAATAAAATTAACATCCAGAATGAAGTTCTAATAAAATTCACATCCAGAATGAAGTTCTAATAAAATTAACATCCAGAATGAAGTTCAATAAAATTAATATCCCAAATGAAGTTCTGATAAAATTCATCATGAATGCTTCATCTTATAATTGATGTTCAAATTTTGAGGGAAGGTAAAAAAGGAATTACTGTACATGTTTTATCATTTAACAACTTTTGTTGATCTCAAAACACCTAAAAACACATTTTGATGTTGTAGTTGAATCTATATTATATAAATTATTGTATTTGTGTGTGTGTGTGTGTGTGTGTGTGTGTGTGTGTGTGTGTGTCTGTGTGGATGACAATTTTCATTACAAATATTTTTAAATGTATGTAAAGAACAAAGTAATAAAGAAACTGTTCTGGTGTAAAATGTCCTATAATCTACACTGAAGGCAAAAATAAGGCATTGAATGCATACATTGGCCTATATTTCATTATGGATAACATAAAACCATAATAATGTTCAAAGGTGACTTATTAAACAACACACAGAAAAACTCCTTCACCCAATCAGAGACGAGCGCACTGCTGTGGTAATAAAAACCTGGAAAGTTGATTTTCCATATATAGAGAGAAGATTCATCCACTCGTCTGAGTTTAGGTTGAACTTTCCACAATTTGGCGTTTGATTTTGTTCAGGGCCTTCTGCACCCACATAGAGTCAGGGTCCGCACACACACGAGCCCCCTTCACGGTGGTAAAACTGCAGTGAAGAAAAGATCAGCGTCAGTGTTTAACTGTGATCCAGGGATGCAGTACGTCAAAGTGGAAACAATAAGAATAAACAAAGAACAGCTTAGAGTAACTATATTAAATATCTTTGTTCCCAGTGCACAGCCTTGGCATTAAGGGACGGGGGTGAAAACTTACATCAATCCAGGTTTTGGACACTCAGCTCTCGTTTCTTCGAACTTACTAATGACAGCTACAGGGATTCGTCTGGGATAGAAAGTGAAACAGCATTCCTCTGGTGCATTCACATCTGTGTGAAAAGAGAAAGAAACATAAGCTCTATTTAAACTAACAACTAGTGTAGTACTAAAGGATGTAGTAAGGAGTGAAGAGGTGATGTAGTGAAGTGAGCTGTAGATGACAGTGTTAGTGAGTGTAATGATGCTACAGCAGGTGAGATCATCTCTAACTCTACTCTTTTTGTTAAAGGTAGCTTTCTGTGAATAAAGCTGCAGTGTTACAGTCTAATAGTTCATCCAAACACATCAGAGTTGTTGGAACAAAACCTTGTATCTCCATTTTTGATGTTTTTCAGGTTTCGACAGAATTTGAATTTGAATACCCATTGACCTTTACATTGTTTGTAAATTTCATGATGAACGGACAGAAATAATCCAAAATGACTTGGAAAGAATTCTGGTTCCATTGACTTGCATTAAAAGTAAAGGTTGTTTTTTCCTTCTCCTGTAAAGTTAATTTTGGAGATACAAGGTTTTCTTCTGACAGCGATATATTACACTACAGTGCACAACACAGTCTAAATGAGGTGAAAAAATCTACTTATTCATACTCAGTTCACACTGGAATAGAGATGGAAGAACCACTTGAATGTGTAATAGTTTCATCAATAATCATTCATCAATAATTATTCACCAATACAGGTAATAATGTGTGCTATGAAAGAGCAAAAGAGCAAAAACTTGTGCATAAACTTCAACTTACGCTGTCCCACCGCACAGGACTGAAGGTAGAGGATGACCAGCAGACCCAGGAGGAGAGAACGAGGACGGATGATCATGGCTGCAGCTTCAGCTTCAGGAGATAATGATCAGTCTGAGCAGAGCTGTAAATGAGACAGATTTCATCTTGCTCTTGCTTTTATAACCGAATACCTGATGCGATTGTGTTTGGGGGAGGGGGCAAAAAAAACCAAAAAAAAACCAAGTCTTGTTTCCACAGGAAGCTCATCTGTGGTTATCACTGAAAGCGAAGTATGAGCAGCTATCTAGCACACATTAGTTATTAGTATATTTTACAGAATATTTCTGTGCGCCTGTAGTAGCATATCTGTAGTACACCAGAACATTTTAATGCACGTGTAGTACTGCTGGTCATTTTGGCTGCTCTAAAACACTTTATACAACCCAAATAACACATTCAAAAGCCCATTGTGAGTTGAAGGGAGTTAGTTGGAGCAGGAACACACTAAATGATGCATGGCAGGGATCGCCTACAAAAAGGCCTACAACTTCTCAGAGCATAGTGCACTTAAGTTCTGGCTTGTATCACTGCTGTCACACTTATCCTTAGCCTTTTTAATCAGCTTGATATTTCATGACATTTTTTAATGTTATGGAATTTTATGGAACCCTTTTCCGTTCCTTTCTGTCCTGCGACAGATGCATTTAAACAGTTTGAGCTGCAGATAAACTAGTGACAATATCAGCTGTGTGGAACCATTTCATGGTTTCTATGAGAGACATTAGACATCATGTCACATGAAAGTTGACTTATCAGAATCATTTCATTTGTATGTTACACATACAAGGAGTTTGTCTCGGTGAGTGCAAACATGTATGACGTGTAACACACTGAACTGACCAGACAAGCTCACAGACTGTTAACAAGCATTTAAAGAGAAAATTAGAATTAAAATAGAATGATGAATAGAATAAAGAATGAAATGAATATTTGCAGAAATTGAACATCTGTACAGTTGGAGTTTTGCTCACTTGTTTCCTGTTGCTCATTTGTTTGCCTCTGTGATTATTCTGACCCTTTGGCCTTTTCACTGCTTTGTTCTGACCTTGATTTAGCCCATTTAAACCGGTTTAAATGCTTGTTGTATATTTGTATATAGATTCCTTTATTGTAGATTTTATAAATAGCTTCACCATTTTGTTTGGGTTTTGGGTTTTTCTGTGTTTTGTGTCAGTCAGGGAGTTAAGCTGCTTGTCTTTCTCTTGATATGAAACCCTGCAGCCACGCCGGCTCTTTGAGGACGAGATTGGACACCCCTTCTCTGAGAAGGGCTTCCTCTTCTATAGGAGGGAACACATTGACTCTTTTACAGAAACATATACATCTTAATCTGTGAAACGTGAACGTCACAATCTCAGAATTCTCCAACAGAAATTAGAGAGAGTTACAAAGCACTGAGACTTACAGGCCTTTTCTGTGTGTGTTGCTCTGAGAGGCTACAGATTAAAAATATCCGTAACAGGGACCCACTAATTTTAGAAATCAAATACATTTGAAATTCGACGATTAATGTCATGTTAGTAATAGAAACTTTTGCGTAACTCTGTCCATTGGGAAGAAAATTGGGAAAAATCAAAGAAAGAAAGTACACACAGCGTCTGTTTGCCCAAAAAAAGTTTTAAAAATTGGCCAAAAAAGATGAAATAAGCCTACAATGCAGTGCCAAAATGAAAAAGACTTAACAAATAATATTAATTGCTAATAAAAATGAGAGTTTAAAACCTCTTTTTCGTTCCTTTCTGTCCTGCAGCAGACGCATTTAAACAGTTTGAGCTGCAGGTAAACAAGTGACAATATCACCGTTCCAGAAGTAGTTCATGGTTTCTACAGGAGACGTTAGATATGAGATTTATCGTCAACTTTTTTAGGTTTCGGTTTTTGGCCCAGAGTGTCCTGAATTTCAGTTTTGGTTTCAGCCAAGGGTTTTTATTTTGCTGCGTCACTAGTAAAAGCAAAGTGCAGAGCTCACTGTCTGTAGTGGGGGCTCAGTCCAGAAACCACAAGTCACCATGGGGGCTGATGTCACAAGGCCTGCGAAATATCCGAGGGCTGGATTACCAAGGGTGAGTGCTGCATTGCTGCTCTTTGCTGCCTCTAGTGCTGTTATCTAAAAGTGTGCTACTTTGTTGACCTGGCATGGTTTCTTGTTTACCTTCATCAGGAGACCGGCGGCTGTAGATGCCCCCCCTGCTGGTTTCCCTTAGCCTTCCAGTCATAGATTTCCTCAAGGATTTCTTAACACTGTGCCTGCAAATAAAACACCGAAATCAATAAAATAATAAATAAATTGAGCTATAAATGGCCTTTAAAGCCCCAATGAGGAGCTGTTTTCAATATAGAATGATCTCAACATCATAATATTTTATCATAAGAATGTGTGGCTGAGACTAAAATACAGACTTATCAAACCACAAACAAATGTAGCTCAGAGAGGAAATTCTCAGTAATCTCAGTGGTGTTAAATTAGCTTGTCCTGTGTTAAACCGGACTGGACACATATAAGCCCAGTCGAGCTTAGAGCAGAATTAACCACCTGTGAGTCGAGCATGTTTCTCAGTGGAAAAATTCAGTTTAACCCAAATGAGCTCAATATTAAATAATTCTGTTATAATTCAAATGAATGAAGGAGGCTCAAGTGAAGAGTTTCATTTCCATCACTGATCTTGTGGGGCCTAACATGATTTCATAATAAGAACGTCTGGGGAGAACCATGAGAAATTTTGTGCTAAATAATTCAGATTTTTAACTAACAATTTGGCGAAACTCAGTGTTAGTTTTAAGTTTGGGTTTAAGGTTAGAGTGACCGTTAGGGCCAGGTTTAGATCCAGGGGAAATTCAGGTGAATTTAACAGATGTTTATTAAGTTAAAAGTAAGTTAACTAAGTACAAACAGTCTAAAGTGCACCATCCAAATAAACTGCTAGCTTTAGACCTGCTAACCCAGCTGAACAGCTACCATGTAGTACTATTGAGCAAATATAATAAACTGGCTTTTCTCAAATAGTGCTGTGTTTAGTGATGATGCTCAATCACACTGATCTCAGATCATGATGTATAAATACAGTGAAGTACAGTTCTGTCACTGCAGCTTTTGTTCCAATATCACTTCTCATTTCCATGGTAACAACCTGAGAAAATTAAAATATTGACACTGGTCTCTTAACAGAATAAACAGTTAATAGTTACACCATTGTGTAACCATTAACAGAATTGGGAACAGCAGAAATAATGTTTTAAAATGCAAATATTGTGGATATACAAAGCATTTAAATGTGAAATATGATTTTTAAGCTACTGTGTGAAAACAAAAAGCAAAAGTGCAACAAATTTAACATTTTATTCCTTTATTACAGAAAAAGTGACAAGACAGAAACTCTCACATAATAATTAAGAAAATTAATTATATTTTACATTTTACAGACTCCAAATCATTAAAAAAGAAGCTGCAAATGTAGAAAAGTTAGACGTGTCCAGAATGATGAACATTGATGAACATGATGAATGTAGATTCTAAAGTGACTGAAAGTCTGTAGAACATCAAGAATGAAATTCTAATAAAATGAACATCACAAATGCTGCATCTTTAAAAATGATCTTCAAATCTTAAGGCACATAACTTGATATATATTAGTCTAAACAGAGAATTACAGTGTATGACTTCATTTCATAAACTGTTTTGATCCCAAAATACTTGAAATATTGAAAAATTTCTACAAACAAAACTTGGTGTAAAGTTTATAATATTTAAATCATTATATATACATTATTACATTTGTGCAGCCACAGATTAGAGACCTCAATACAGTTATCTGTAAATGCTCTTTGTATATTTAAAAGTGTGAAATCATTCTGATGTAAAATGTACTTTAAAAAGACATTAAAGACGTTCATTACATTCAATTCATGTATTATATTCTGATATATTCCACATTCCTCCAGTCTGTACTTAATGTTCAAAGGTAACTTAATAAAAAACAGAAAAGCTTTATTCCTTCACCCAATCAGAGACGAGTACACTGCTATAGTAATAAAGAGCTGGAATATTAAGGAGTTGATTTCCATTAATAGAGGGAAGATTTAACCACCCAGCTGAGTTCAGTTTGAACCTTCCACAATTCGACGATCGATCATGTTCATGGCTCGCTTCACCCAATTATAGCTGGAGTCCACACACACACGCTTGCCATTCTTGATTGTAAAACTGCAGTGAATAAAGATCAGCATCACTGTTTGCAGTGGGTCAAAGTGACAACAGTAAGAGTCAACAGAGAACAGCAGCGTAAAGTAACTATATTAAATATAATTTGTCTTATTCCAATATTAATAAAGGAGGGGGGTGAAAACTTACAACACTCCAGCTCTTGGACACTTGGGGTCGGATTCTTCGTATTTAGTAATATGAGCTGCATGGATTGGTCTGGTATAGAAACTGAAACAGCATTGCTTTGGTTCTTTTCCATCTGTGTGAGAAAATAATATCATAAATAATTAAATGAAGAAGGATGTAGTAAAGAGTGAAGAGGTGATGTAGTGAAGTGATCTGTAGATGACGGTGTTAGTGAGTGTAATGATGCTACAGCAGGTGAGATCATCTCTAACTTTACTCTTCTTATTAATACTGTGAATAAAGCTGCAGTGTTACAGTCTAATAGTTCATCCACACATATATTACACTACAGTACAGGACACAGTCTAAATGAGGAACTTATTCATACTAAGTTCACATTGGAATAGAGATTTAAGAACCACTTGAATGTGTAACAGTTTCATCAATAAATATTCACCAATACAGGTAATAATGTGTGCTATGAAAGAGCAAAAGAGCAAAAACTTCAACTTACGCTGTCCCACTGCACAGGACTGAAGGTAGAGGATGACCAGCAGACCCAGGAGGAGAGAACGAGGACGGACGATCATGGCTGCAGCTTCAGCTTCAGGAGATGATGATCAGTCTGAGCAGAGCTGTAAATGAGACAAATTTCATCTTGATCTTGCTTTTATAACCGAATACCTGATGTGATGGTGTTTGGGGGAGGGGGCAAGGTGGATGAAAAAAAAACAGTCTTTTTTCCACAGGAAGCTCATCTGTGGTTATCACTGAAAGCGAAGCATGAGCATCTGCCTAGCACACATTAGTCATTTGACCAAAACCACTCAAAATATGTCTCGCAGTGTGTCTGCTGTGAATCAATCACTATCTGCACTAAAGCTCAATGAACGCTAGATAAGAGTGATACTTTGATCTTAGTGGGCTCAGAGAAAAAGACATCACCAAGTTTCAATTGGGGTTCCCCAACCTGGCTACAAAAACAGCATCCTGTAAAGCTAAGAACAACCCTTTGGGTAACAGCACAAAGAATATTTTAGTGCACCTGTAGTACACCAGAATATTTTAGTGCACCTGTAGTACACCAGAATATTTTAGTGCACCTGTAGTACACCAGAATATTTTAGTGCGCCTGTAGTACACCAGAATATTTTAGTGTACCTGTAGTACACCAGAATATTTTAGTGTACCTGTAGTACACCAGAATATTTTAGTGTACCTGTAGTACACCAGAATATTTTAGTGTACCTGTAGTACACCAGAATATTAGTTCACCTGTAGTACACCAGAATATTTTAGTGCACCTGTAGTACACCAGAATATTTTAGTGTACCTGTAGTACACCAGAATATTTTAGTGCGCCTGTAGTACACCAGAATATTTTAGTGCGCCTGTAGTACACCAGAATATTTTAGTGTACCTGTAGTACACCAGAATATTTTAGTGCGCCTGTAGTACACCAGAATATTTTAGTGCGCCTGTAGTACACCAGAATATTTTAGTGCGCCTGTAGTACACCAGAATATTTTAGTGCGCCTGTAGTACACCAGAATATTTTAGTGCGCCTGTAGTACACCAGAATATTTTAGTGCGCCTGTAGTACACCAGAATATTTTAGTGCGCCTGTAGTACACCAGAATATTTTAGTGCGCCTGTAGTACACCAGAATATTTTAGTGCGCCTGTAGAACACCAGAATATTTTAGTGCACCTGTAGTACACCAGAATATTTTAATGCGCCTGTAGTACACCAGAATATTTTAGTGCGCCTGTAGTACACCAGAATATTTTAGTGCGCCTGTAGTACACCAGAATATTTTAGTGCGCCTGTAGTACACCAGAATATTTTAGTGCACCTGTAGTACACCAGAGGAGTTACTGTAATACAGTGAGGGGGTTTGATGGTTCAGTGTAAAGTGTGAGTGTCCACTGTGGTTAATGAGCTACAGCTTTTGGTGAAAAAGCTCTTAGCATGTCTGGCTGTGCTGGTTTTGATGGTCCTGAATCTTCTACCAGAGGGGAGTGTCTGAAAGAGGTGATGTCCCGGATGAGAGGGGTCAGCTGTTATTTTCCCAGGGTGCTCTATCACTCTGCTGTTGTAGACGTCCTAAAGCGTTGGCAGATACATCCAATGATCCTCTCCATTGTCCTGATTATGCACTGAACAGCTACAGAACCACTGACTAAGACAGGAACTGAATCAAGGGAAAGGAACAGATTGGATTTGGGGAAGGAACAGCATCAACAAGTTAGCAACAACACAGACAGGCCGAGTAGACATATCAGAGGTGGCATATTAGCAGTGAACACAGGAATAGAGATCTACACAGGATGAGAACAATGACAGGAACTGCACTGAGAACAGAAACAGAGACTGGACTGGAGAACAGGCAGAGACTGGAGCTACGTCAGAGAGAGAACCTGGACAAGGTTCACCTGGGAGTCGGAATAGATTAGGTGCCAACTGGGGCCTGGAAAGGTCAGTTCCAAGGGATGTATTACAGAAACCTCTTATGTTTTGTCCTAAGTTAAGATCTGACAGCTCAAGATTTCCCAGGGACTGGGGCTGCAAATGAGCTCAAGCTAGATGCCCTGTATACATTACATGTGTTGCATTCTATGTAACAATGTTTATCTGTACTGTCCTGTCAAATAAGCAAATTTGTATTACAGAAGCAATTATCTTAATTTAAGAATTACATCTTCTCTTACAGCATCTTGGTTGAAGTTAGGAAATCCTAAACTTCTGAATCAAGGCTGATAATCAGCTGTTACCAAGCAACTGTCAATATGCGTACAGCTAAGCCATAAAGACATAATCAAAATAATGTAAAGTTAGTTTGCTTGATAGCTACTGTTAAAAAAAGAAAACTACAGTGTGATGAACTGGAAGATGGAAAAAGTAAAGGATACTCGGCCTCATCCACTGACAGTTCTTAAGAATAAATTTCTTCTTAAAACCCATTTATGCAGTTTTCACGAAGATTCTGACATTCATCAATGTTCTCTTGTTTGGGGTTTGTTCTTAGGTAAGAACAGAATCTACACACACTCAAGAGCACAAAGGTGAGAACCGTTCTGCAGTTTAAGAACACATCATGAATCTGACGTAGACTTTTTCTTAGGACCTTTACCAAGAACACATTTAAGAAAAAAGACTAGATATTAATGAATGAGGCCCATTGTGAGTGTACACCCTGCAGCTTTTAAGGGGGGGCGCCATCGCTCCCCAGTTTCACTTTCCATTTCCTAAGGCCTTATACGGCATGCATGCACTGCTATGGTATTCCTCCTCATTGTGAGATTGAGCCGATTAATCACAAACAACCTTTTCATTATCTTTTTATCCATCTTTTCCAACTGTGCCAGTAATTATGGTGCTGCAGGTCTGAAAGAAACAATGCGGTAACATTTTCCAACTCTGGAAAATCTATAATTCATTTTACAGTCACTATAATGAATTACCGTGACCCAGAAGGGTACGCGGTTTAGATGATGTGTGTGTGTATAATGAATTATACACAGTGTTGCGCATTCCGGGTTCGGATCCCGGACGAGCCCCCACGTTACACTCCGCTCCATATATTTGGTGCTGTTTGGTCTGTGCCTCTGTTGTCTTTGCAGTTACAGCCTCATTCCATGTTCGTGTTTTCAACACATCACCACTCACTCCAGTCCATACTCCAGTCCGTGCTCCAGTCAAGGTCCATATATGACATCAGTCGGTAAGAAAAACAGAGGCCTCCTCAGCTCCACAAAGGAGTTTTGCTCACTTGTTTCCTGTTGCTCATTTGTTTGCCTCTGTGATTATTCTGACCCTTTGGCCTTTTCACTGCTTTGTTTTGATCTTGATTTAGCCCATTTAAACCTGTTAGCTTGTTGTGTATTTGTATATAGATTCCTTTATTGTAGATTTTATAAATAGCTTCACCATTTTGTTTGGGTTTTGGGTTTTATCTGTGTTTCGTGTCAGTCAGGGAGTTAAGCTGCTTGTCTTCTGTTTTGTTTAAGGCTAGTTTAGTTCTCATTATTAGTTTTGATCTCATTATTATACACTACACACATTCACAAAGCATACATTTCACACCACATCATTCTTTTACGGCCTGACCCTGGACCGGGTCATAATAACACATACCGTATAACTTCATAAGGAAAACAATGGAATAATAAGTGTTTATTCTGCTATAATACAGGGAGATTCACTCGAAAGAGGCCCCGAATATTCTGCTGTAACTCCTGTTAGGATGAAACAATCGGAACAAAAAAAAATACGCTACATACTTTGACGCGCTGCTCAATACTGTACACCACCATGCTGATGAGAAGTGACTGAGTGAAGGGGTACGGGGGTCTGCACCCGGAATTTGCAAATGGAGGTTTAATGTCGGGACGGCTGTCCGGCGCCTACCTCATCGCTCTGACACAGGGGCATCTCAGCTTGTTCGAAGTTCCATATACTGAGGAGCTCATTGCACATTGTTTCGATTCAGATTGATTCATCCTAGCGAGAGTTATTACAGAATATTCAGGGCCTCTTTCGAGTGAATCTCCCTGTAGATGTCCAGTCTTAGTTGTTAAGGGCTGATGTGGCTGCAGGTTCTCATTCCAACAAAGCAGGAGCTCATATGATCAGCTGCTTGGAGTCAGGTGAGCTCCTGCATGTTTGATATGAAACCCTGCAGCCACGCCGGGTCTTTGAGGACGAGATTGGACACCCCTTCTCTGAGAAGGGCTTCCTCTTCTATAGGAGGGAACACAATGACTCTTTTACAGAAACATATACATCTTAATCTGTGAAACGTGAGTGATTTGACATTCATTCACAATCAGAAATTAGATTCAGAGGGTCGTGTGACACTGAGACTTACAGGCCTTTTCTGTGTGTGTTGCTCTGAGAGGCTACAGATGGAAAAACATCTGTAACTGGGACCCACTAATTTTAGAAATCAAATACATTTGAAATTTTACTACTGATGTCATGTTAGTAATAGAAACATCTGTGTAGTGTTCTCCGAGGAGTCGCGGTCAGCTGTCCAGTTGTGGAGTTCTACTGAATATATTACTATATATCAAATCACAATTTATTTGTATAGCACTTTTTCCACAACTGATGTTGTCACAAAAGCAGCTTCACACAGAAATCGTTAGAACAAAGTTCAACATGAAATGTAAATCCTCCAGGTGAGCAAGCCAGGGGCGACAGTGGCAAGGAAAAACTCCCTCAGAGCTGAGGAAGAAACCTTGGAGGAACCAAGGCTCACAAGGGGGACCCATCCTCCTCTGGTCAACTACCTACAAATTAGTTATGTCTCTAATATTATAGTAGTAGTAGTAGTAATAGTTAGGATTGGGTAGTAATAGTTAGGAGACTTCAGTGGAGAGTGGGCAGCCAGTCCAAGGCAGTGCGGCGACTGGGTGTGGGTACTGCGTCTGAAGCGGGTAGCGAGAGCTCTACAAATAATGTCATCCAGCAGTGTCCAGTTTCCGACAGGTGGGCAGTCGTATTTTCTCGAAGAAAGGTGTAGGGAAATGGAGTTAGTTTAGTCTGTACAGCGTATGATATAGTGAGTATGTAAACATTTCCAGAGTGTGGCTAATGACTCCGGCAGATCTGACTATAACAGCTTAACTAAAAGGAGGAACCAAAAGGACACACAGACACGGGAGCACCTGAGACATCTGGCATCCCTCTCCCGCTCCACTTCCACAAACCTGAGTGTAGTCGTGTGTGAGCGCGGGACGACAGCACCAGTCTCAGTTACTATAATTCCCTGCGTCCATGGACCCTGGATCTGCTGCCTTTATCTAAGGGGAAACATTAACTACCAAAAGCGTACACTAAACAATGAGTTTTCAGCCTAGATTTGAAGATTGCGACTGAGTCTGAGTCCCGAACATTTTCTGGAGATCATTCCAGAGTTTTGGGGGCTTTATAAGAAAAGTCTCTTCCCCCAGATGAACCTTCTGAATTCTGGGAACTATTAAAAAGCCAGCACTCTGTGATCTGAGTAGCGTGGTGGCTCGTAATGGGAAATAAGGTCATGTAGGTACTCAGGAGCCCATGTAGGGCTTTATAGTCAATAAAAGAATTTTGTAATCAATACGGAATTTAACAGGCAGCCAATGAGTGATGATAGAACTGGACTGATATGGTCAAAT